TTTCTGGGCCTGTGAGGGATCCCTTCAGGTGAGGCTTTCTGGGCCTGATACCTGTGGGGGGACCCCTTCAGGTGTTGGGAGTGGGCAGGATCTTGACAAGGTGGGGAGAAGTTTCTGCGTGGAGCAACAGCGACCTCCGGTGGCCAACAAGCCACAGGTCTGGTGAACGGGAGAAAAGTGCGGGTGGGTTTAGAGGCTGGGGGACAGGCAGACCCCCCAGGTTGAGGCACAGAGAAAAAGTCCCTCTGGTCAAAATTGTCAGCTGACCCCCAAATGGCCAAGGATGAACCCATAAGAGCTCATTGAAGCCTGTAGGTGAAATGGGCCCCATTAAAATGGTATAGGGTCCCCTGCTAGACAAGGGGGCTAGACTAGAAGACCTCCAAGGTCCTTTCCAGCTCTGTCCTATTCGAAAACCTAATTACAAACAGTCCTCGACTTACAACCATTCCCTTAGTGACCGTTCGGAGTTAGAACAGGGCTGGAAAAACGCGACCTAGGACCGATTTTTCACACTTAACGGCCGTTCAAATCCCCCACAGTTCAAAAATTCAGCTACTTGGCATGTATTTATGGTGGTTGCAACATCCTGGGGTCATGGCATCCCCTTTTGCGACCTCCGGACAAGCAGAGCGAAGGTCGCAAAACGGGACAAAACTCACTTGAGAACTGTCTCAGGTTGGTTTCTACTGTGGTCATAAGTTGAGGACTTCCCGTAGTCTTTGAAACCCCCTTCCAGCTGCGGAAGGCATTCCTGCGTCCTTTTGAACCCACCGCAGGGAGAACCCACCCTCAGAGAGAGAGAGAGAGAGACCCAACCTAGAATTAAGGAGCAATTTCCTGACACAGTGAGAACAATTAACCAGGGGAACTGCTTGCCACCAGATGTTGTGGTGGAGGTTTTTAAGAAGAGGCTGGACAGCCACTTGTCTGAAATAGTATAGGATCTCCTGCCTGGCTGGACTAGAAGACCTCTGAGGTCCCTTTCAATTCTGTCGTCCCGTTGTTTTGTCCCAGGAACCGGATACGCCAGTACCCTGCTTTGGTGAACTGCACCACCATCGACTGGTTCTCGGAGTGGCCGAAGGAAGCCTTACTGGAGGTGGCGGAGAAGTACCTGGAAGGCGTGGATTTGGGCGTGGTGGAAAGGGGGAGTCTCGACACGGTGAGAGCCCACTGCCCGTCCGAGAGGGGGGTCTGGCAGAAGACCTGCCAGGGGCTTCGAGATCTCGGAGTCCCAGTAGACAACCACTTAAGTGTGAGACAGGAGTGTGCGGCAGCTGCCCCAAAAGCCAATCCTTGATTGCATAAACAGAGCGGTAGAATCAAGATCGCGGGGAGTTTTAGTACCTCTTTGTAAGGTCTTAGTAAGACCCCATAATTTCCCAGCCTGGTTTTTCTCCCGGCCTCTAAAGTGGAAAGATTGCAGAGGAAGGGATAAGCAAACCACCGTGGGGATACTTATCATGTGAAGCGTTAATACCACTTTATGATTTGCTTTTTATTGTATTTATTTATTTTGTCAAGCATGCATTTGATAATGTGTATATAAGTACAAACATGATTATTAATACATGAAGTAGATACGAATAAAAGGGGAACATTAGGACGGAGATGGTAGGGACGCTGGTGTGCTTATGCACGGCCCCTTACGGACCTCTTAGGAAAGGGGTGAGGTCAATAGTAGACAGTCTCAGGTTAAAGTTTTTGGGGTTTGGGGAAGAAACCACAGAGTCAGGTAGAGGATTCCAGACATTGACCACTCTATTATTGCTGAAGTCGTATTTCCTGCCATCAAGTTTGGTGCGGTTTACCTTGAGTTTGTATCTATTGTGTGCTCTTGTTGAGGTTGAAGCTGAAGTATATTCATTGATGGGTAGGGCATTGCAGTGGATAATGTTATGTACTACGCTTAGGTTGGTCCGAAGGCGGCTTGGTAAGACCACATTTCGAATACTGAATCCAGTTTTGGTCACCACGATGTAAAAAATATGTTGAGACTCTAGAAAGAGTGCAGAGAAGAGCAGTTAAGATGATTAGGGGAGTGGTTACAAAGAACGGTTGCCAGAATTGGGTATGTCTAGTTTAACGAAAAGAAGAAATAGGGGTGACACGATAGCAATCCTCCAGCATTGGAGGGGCCGCCCCAAAGAAGATTTGGGGGTCAGCCTACTCTCCCAAGCACTTTGAAGGCAGGACAAGAAGCAACGGGTAGAAACTGATCCAGGAGAGAAGCAACCTGGAATTAAAGGAGAAACTTCCTAAGAGGGAGGACAACTAACCAGTGGAACTGCCTGCCACCAGAAGTTGGAGGTTTTTAAGAAAAGACTGGACAGACCCTTTGACTAGAATGAGATAGGACAGGGGTCTCCACACTTGGCAACTTTAAGATTTACGGACTTCAGCACCCAGAATTCCTCAGCCAGCCACGCCTGTATTTTTTTCAGCTACCCTCTACAGCGGAGAGTTTGCAGAGGAAGGGATTACAAGAGAGTAAGATAGCCACAACGGATGTGTACATATCAAAAGGAATGAATGCATCGGGCTCAGGGAATTCTAGGAGTTGAAATCCAGCCACGTTGATGCTGTCAAGTTTAGGGACCCCCCCGCTGTTAGAGGATTTATACTGCTTGCTCGGACTTGATGACCTCCAAGGTCCCATCTCTGTTATTCTGTGCTCCCACTTTTACCTAGATGCAAAAGCGAGTGGCTAAAATCTTCGTCACCATGCACTGGTCAGTGGCCAGATACTCTCACAAGATGTTGCTGGAACTCCGGCGTCACAACTACGTGACACCCACCAACTACCTGGAGCTGGTGTCTGGCTACAAGAAGTAAGTTGTGGCGGGGGGGATTGGGTGGGTCTCGGCAGGTGGGATGGTGGAATGCTCCCTCTTCCCAGGAGAAGTAGCCCAGCTCGGGGACAGGAGAGTCAAAGGGCTCGACTTGGCCCCTTTGCAAGCGAGCCAGTCCTGGCGCAGGGGTGCCCACAGCACGAGACTTCCCGTGTTCCACCCCTTTGGCAGACTTCTGGCCGAGAAACGGAAGGAGCTTTCGGACCAGGCCAACAAACTCCGCAACGGCCTCTTCAAAATCGACGAGACTCGGGAAAAAGTTGAGGTGATGACCCTGGAGCTGGAGGAGGCGCGGAGGAAGGTGGCTGAATTCCAGAAACAGTGCGAGGAATACCTGGTGATCATTGTGCAGCAGAAGCGGGAAGCGGATGAACAACAAAAGGTGAGTTAGATTAGAAGGTTTAAAAAGAATACGTCGTCCAAGGGTTAGAAGTGCAATCGAACCCCGGGTTCGTATCACCACGTGTGGTGGACATGTTTGAAAGGGGAAAAAAAAGTTAGCACGTTTTCCCAAAAATAAGACCCTGTCTTATATATATTTTTTGCCACCCAAAAAGGCACCAGGTCTTATTTTCAGTGGGATGTCCTCCACGGACTAACCTCACTTGCACGCATCGCCCCCGGCCTCCTTCCAGAAGTCCTTATTCTGCGGCCGGCAAGGCTTTCCTGAAGGCCTCTGCAGCCGATAACCGCCCATAACTCTGGATCGATCCAGAGCTTTGTTATCAGCTCCAGAGGCCTTCAGGAAAGCCTTGCTGGCTGCAGAAGAACCAGGCTGGCAAAGCAGGTGTCGGGGTGTGCAAGGCCTGGCTACACCTGTCCAAAGGTAAGTAGTAGGGCAGCTCCACCCCCTCCCATCCTCACCCTAGCTTAATTTTTACCCGTCTACTCTGGAGTTGGCGGGATCTTAATTAGGGCTTATTTTGGGGCTAGGGCTTTATATTGGGCCCATGGGTAAAAAAAAAATCAAGCTAGGACTTACTTTCAGGTAGGTCATATTTTCAGGGAAACAGAGTACTGGTCTAAAATACACCCATAGCTAGAAAAAAATGATAAAGAAACATATGGATTTAAAACTAGAAATTTTTCTGTTGGGCATCATACCAGACAGTAAAAGGAATGCGCATTTAACAGTATATGTATTAACAGCAACCAGAATCATGTTCGCACAACATTGAAAGGGCGAAGAGATCCCCGAAGAAAAAAAGTTAATATCAAAAATCTTAAAAATGTGCAGAAATGATTAAATTAACATTTTAAATCAAAGAAAAGGAAGACACTGAATATTTTGAGGCACAGGATCTGTTTTATCGGGTTCAAATGAGAGAAACAGAAGTTACAACCTTGAAAACTGCAAGAGAAAGATTAATTTTAATATCAGGGTTGATCAATGTAGCTTGTTAATTTTAATTAATTTCGACTAGTACTAATAATTAATCTGTATCAATATTATGAGGGGAAAGCACTGTTATTGCAAGATTATTATTATTATACTGTTATTATTATTACTATGATGAATATTACTCAAAAGAATTGTAGCCAGACAGCACGCCGTTTATATGGATTTTGAACCCGTTGCTCTTTCTATTTATATAAATACAAAATAAATTATTATTTTTTTTTAAAGGTGAGCGTCCAAGGGTTGGCATCGCCCGTTTCCCATCCGAACCTGTGATGGGCATCGTCACACCTCTCTTTCCTCTCCGTCCTCCTGTAGACGGTGTCAGCGAATAGCGAAAAGATCGCTGCCGAGGAAATCAAGTGCAAAGCGTTGGCGGACAATGCCCAGAAGGATCTGGAGGAAGCCCTGCCGGCCTTGGAGGAAGCCATGAAGGTAGGTGAGAAGAGGACACCTCCCTCTAGGCCAGGGGCGTCAAAACTCAAGGCCAGCGGACCAGATCCGGGTGCGGGAGTGTGTCAGGGTTCCGGTGATTTCCCTTTGGATGCCAAGCTCCAAAAAAAATCCAAAAGATTTACTAGGAGCAACATGCCGGCATTAACCTAAGCGAAACCAACTCCGGCATACGTAATTTACAGCCACCCGTGACTCTGTTTCCCCCACTCCCCTTGGTGTGTCATAAATCAGATTCTCCAATGAGGCATTTTCACGGGATTTTGAAGGCAGAAGATCCGGTAGCCTAGCTACAAACTTTTAAAGATAAGAGTGGAATGTGCTTCTGGTTTTAAACTGCCATAACGCTCCTTCAGATTTCTTCCACACACACACCCCGCCCCCTTGTTTATGGCAACTCGAAAACAGGCATAGGAATATTTTATGAGTTGACGAAGTGCTTAAATCTGGCCCGCGGGTCGGCTTGGAAATACCAAAGGACTGGCCCGCGGTGCATCTGCCGGACAAAACGGGCCGTGTGTGGGAGCTCCACAGGGCCGCTGCGGGTCCCAATTTTGGCCAGTGGAGTGTTGCTGGAGGCCGGGGAGGCTGAAAACGGGCCCTGCAGGAGCTGAGCATAGCATCCGCGTGGCCAATTTTCGCCCAGCAGAAGTCTGCAGGAGGCCTGGATCAGACTGGATTACAATTACGTGGCCTCAAGTTAAGCGCCTGATCTGGATAGCAAGCAAGCAACCTTCTGTGTTAATAATACAGTTTAATGGCAGATTTTACGTACTGTAGGTCCATTTCATCTCCAACCAACAATCTATAATCGACAGCCGTTCCTATTTACCACCCTGGAAATTTGCCTCCGCTGTTAGTTCTCGTACAATCATGTTATTTTATGCTGTTGTGTTTTTATTTATTAGTTGAACAACAATAAAAAAATACAATAGTATCAATAGCTTTTCTGCCTGGAAAAGCAGTTTGCTATTCAACAATGGGGTGATAAATGTAGAAAGAAAAAGTTTTATGGAGAATAAGTCATAAAGGTTTTCCCGTAATATCCGTCAGAAGAGATAGGAAAATGGTTATAGGGAAAGAACTGTGGAAAGGAAGAGAGAAGAGAAGTGGGGAGAATACATCTTGGGCTTGTGTCAAATGCCTACCATGGACACACACACACACACACACACACACACACACACACACACTTCACACTGCTCTGACTCATCTAGAACAGAGGGGGCGCTATGTGGGGATGCTTTTTGTGGATTTTAGTTCTGCATTTAACACAATTCTTCCACGTAGACTACTGTCTAAGCTTCTGGACTTTGGGCTTTCTCATTCAATCTGCCTTTGGATTATGGGTTTCCTGTCTGGCCTCTCACAGGGGGTCAGATTAGGTAATCATATCTCTTCAGCCCTTAATCTTAACACTGGTACACCACAGGGTTGCGTGTTGAGTTTCTTACTCTGTACTCTTTATGGGCATGACTGCATTCCCGCTCACGCTAGTAATACTATTGCTAAATTTGCAGATGATACAACAGTGGTGGGACTCATCTCCGGGGGCGTGGATGAGTCTGCCTACCGAGATGAGGTGGACCAATGGTTGCTTTCGTGGTGTGGAGACAACGACTTGGTCCTCAGCACCAATAAGACCAAGGAGCTGATAGTGGACTATAGAAGGAACAGATCAGACATCCAGCCCTTCCTTATCAATGGAGACTGAGGGGAGCAAGTGGCCAGTTTTAAGTTTCTGGGTGTTACCCTAAAAGAGGACCTGACCTGGGGTGCTCACATTGCAGCCCTGGTCAAAAGGGCCCAGCAGAGATTATACCACCTGAGGCTTCTCAGGAAACAACAACTGAATGGAAAACTGCTGGTGACCTTCCACCGCTGCACCAGAGAGAGTATCTTAACTTTCTGCACCTCTGTCTGGTTTGCCAGTTGCACAGGGGCAGATAGGAAAGCACTCCGGGGCGGTTAATATCATTGCCCAGAGGATCATGGGCTGCCCTCTTCCCCTCTTTGGAAGAGCTTTATCGCTCCAGCTGCCTTAAGAAAGTTCAAAATGTTTTCAAAGATTTATCTCATCCTGGGCACCTTTGTTTCGAACTATTGCTATCTGGCAGATGGTACAGGAGAATAATAAAAACCAGGACAAATAGGCTGAAAAACAGCTGCTATCCCAGGGCAGAATTCTACAGAATAGTACACTGAAGATGGTATTTAGTTTCGTTGTACAATGTGCAATAACAATAAAGTAAACTAAATTAAACTAAACTAAACACACATCGGCTGGCCCTCCAAGGTCAAATACAACCCCGATGCTGTCCTCAATGAAATCGAGTTTTGACACACACACCCTGCTCTAGGGCCACCACAGAAGGTTGGCACCCTGAAGGTTTTGGGGAGAAGCTGGAGGTGAGTTCTGGAACGTGCTTGACCAACCCTTGTTGCCTCCTCAGGCTTTGGAGTCCCTCAACAAGAAGGACTTGACGGAGATCAAGTCCTACGGCCGGCCACCAACGCTGGTGGAGACCGTGATGCAAGCCGTCATGATCCTGAGGGGCAACGAGCCCACCTGGACAGAAGCCAAGAAGCAGCTCGGTACGAGGGTCCCCAGGAAACCCGTCTTGAGGTCCAACTAGGTGTCATCTACCTGCCTCCTCCGGGGAGAACATCTCAGTTTCCTTGGGATTCAAAAAATACCAGCAACCAGTTTGCTCCTGGTTGCTGGGTGGGTGTGGCCATGGTGGGCGTGAAACTTCTGGGAGGGCCATTTTTCCCCTTCCCCACAGTCCGGAGGCTTCCCTCGGGCCTCTGGGAGTGGGGAAACGGCCTCCCTCGGGCTGCAGAGGCTCTCTGGAAGCCGGAAAGAGTCCCGTTGTTTCCGGACTTCCAGTACTTCCGGAAGGCCCATTTTCTCCGCCACCCAGAGCCTCCGCGCAGACCCTGCACTTACCTGCATCCAAAACAGGCCGCGTGGAGACTCCTGGGAGGAGCGGGGTGGGTGGGGCCAGCCGGTCGGTTCAGCTACTGGCTCGGCAAACCAGGTGTAAATTTAACAACCGGTTCACTTGAACCAGTCTGAATCGGTAGAATCCCCCCCCCGGGATAAACCCTCAGAGGGGGGGCCCCAAAAAGGTGGTTTCTCCTGGGGGCGGGGGGACGGGGGGGGTAGAGGATGGGGGGGATGATCTGATGGCAGACCTTCTCTGACCCCCACCTGGCTTCTCCAGGGGAGCCCAACTTCATCAAGCAACTGGTGTACTTCGACAAGGATAACATCTCCGACAAAGTCCTCAAGAAGATCAGCGCCTACTGCTCTCAGCCGGACTTCCAGCCCGACATCATCGGGAGGGTCTCGGTGGCCGCCAAGTCCCTGTGCATGTGGGTGCGGGCCATGGAGGTGAGGTGGGGTCTTCGGTGAGGGGGGTGGCGGCCTTCCCTTGGCCTTCCCCCACAGCTTGCTAAGGTCTCCCTTCCTCCTCCTCCTCCTCAGATGTACGGGCGCATCTACCGCGTGGTGGAGCCCAAGCGCGCTCGCATGAACGCCGCCCTGGCCCAGCTGGCGGAGAAGCAGGCCGCGCAGGCCGAAGCCCAGGAGCGGCTGCGAGAGGTCGGTTCCGCCGAGCAGAGGGAGAGCCCTAGGCAACTGGAAGACGCGCGGACCTCGACTCCCAGAATTATCCCAGCCGGCGTGGATTCTGGGAATTGAAGTCCACGGGGTTTAGAGGTTGCTGAGGTTGAGAAACGCTGACATACTCATGTGCGCGCGCGCACACACACACACACACACACACACACACACACACACACACACGGAGGGATGGATTGGCTACCGGGGAGGGTGGGAATCTGTGGAATTCCTCTGACCCTGAAGGGGAGGGGAGGAGAAGGAAGGGATAGAGATAGGAAGAAGGAGGGAAGGAGGGGAAAAGGTGGGAAGAAGGAAGGGATGGAGGGGAAAAGGAAGGAAGGAAGGAGAGGAAGGAAGGAGAGGAAGGAAGGAAGGAAGGAAGGAAGGAAAGGGATGGGAAGGAAGGATGGGATAGACTGGAAGAAGGAGGGAAGGAGGGAGAAAGGTGGGAAGAAGGAAGGGATGG